GTATACATAGTAAAAGAGTAATTGTACGAATTTGGTTGCTACAAAACTTGAACATGGATGTTTCCCACCCTGAAGAGTAAAGTCTTTGTTTTGTTAAATAAATCTCCATGCACAACTAAGCTGTGATACATTTTCCCTGGACTTTTATATTATTAAATTACTGTCAAAAGAGCCAATTTTAAACCAAAATTGGAAATCTTTTCTTTAATATTTGCTCTTTCACACCAGTCTTCACAAATCTTAAAGTGCAGCATAAAATAGATTCTACAGTATCTGCTTTAAGAGAAGAGCAAATGATAAATTACTTCTCTAAGAGGAGATGATGTTATTAATCAAAATGACTTCAGGGTGTAGTGTTTTGAAGTTGTATTGAGTATTAAATAACAGGTGAAGGGAAGGAGGTTTTTCCTTTTGAAATCCTAAATCTAAGCCTATACAATAAAATGAAGCAGATACCTGTTAGCCAAGTTGTCACAGAAAAAAAATCTTCACAAAGAGACAGTGTAAATTAAAGCCTTCAAATCAAAAGCAGGACGTAAAGATTGCTTTGCATTTCTTTTCATAACGAATAATGACACAGTTTGGTCTCTTACAGAATTTGTTCAAGATTACTTGAATGGCAGGAAGTGAATGCAACTCTGCTGTCCCCTGAAAGTAACAGCTATGACCATTTCCTGATTAAATGAAGGTTTTACTTTGTATTCTCGAATTCTCCTTTTCAGATTAATTTATTTTACCAGGAGCCATTTCATCTGCTGCCGAGCTGTACTGCCAGGGAATGCAAATTCATAGCAGTTACTGAGGACATCACACAGGACTTATCCTACAGAGCTCCAGAGAGAGGAAAACTGCTACTGAAATAAGAGTTTGCATGTGTGAACATGCATGCCCATTCAGGACAGAATGAAGTCTTGCCTGTTTCTGCTGTTCAGGGCCTTTCTGTCAAAGTTTTTTAATTGTGCTTTATAGCACAAACTTTGGAATACAGAATATACGTAGTAGTTTGGTTTGAATTTCTGGTTAAGGATTACGATTTTTTGTAGAGGGGATAATGTTAGAGTGGGGAGAAGGAGCTCACGTTTCAATATGGTTTTTCCCTTACAGTTTTATTCCACACTAAAATCTGGGCTACATAGCAACCTTTTGAGGAAGACACTGACACCATACATAACACCAGTCCATGCTGGGACTAGGTGAATGGTTTATTTAGATAACTTAGCCCCCCCTGTAGCTGAAATTAAATTTGGTGATTCCCTTGCAAGACCATGGAACCAGCTGTGACTGGTCTAGAAGGACACTAGGATATATACTCAACGCTGTGTCCCACAGTAGGCTTGTATCCAAGTCAGGACATTACAGTCTGGATGAACAATGAGTACAATGGATTGTACTCTACCTGGAAGTCAGTTACAAGTAGGGTGGCACAGGGCCTATACTTGGATTCATCCTGATCAACTCCTTTATCAGTTACCTAGAGTTCGATGACACTTCTACCATATTTATGGATGACACCAAATTGGTGAGATCAGCCAATAAAGACACACTAGGGCAGAGTTGCTCTGGACCCAGACAGACTGGAAGGATGGGCTGACAGGAACCTGATGAAATTCAACAAGGACAAACACCTAGTCCTGCACCTGAGGAGGAAGGACTCCCTGCAGTGACACAAGCAATGTGATTATATCCCTGTATATGGCACTTGTGAGAGCACATCTAGATACTACATCTAGTTTTGGTTCCCACAACACAATATACACAATGATAAATTGAGGAGAGCTCAGCTGGGAGTCACCAAGATGGCTGCAAAGAGAGACTGTGGGAAGAGGGCTTGTTCAACCTAGGTAGAGGGAAAAAGCATCAGCTTTGTTGAGGGGAAAAAACATCAGCCTGTAGAGCCTACAAAGAGGTCATCAAGACAGCTGAGACAGGCTCTTCAGCAGTGCTTAGAAGTGGGACAAGAGACAACAGGCATAGACTCAAATCAGGGTCTTTCAGACTGGATATAAGGAAAAGTATTTTCATAATTAGAACAGTCCAGCAGGACAATAGCTGGCCCAGGGAAGTTGGGCAGTCTCTGTTCTGGAAAAAACTCAGTGTTTTTCAAGATGAGAGCAGATATAGCCTTGAACAACCTGGTCCGACTTCACAGCTGGCCTTGCTTCGAGCAGAGGACTGAACTATAGATCCTTTAAGATCCCATCTGTTTTGAGTTATCCAACGACTCTGTAGGAAGGTAAGTTCCCCATCCATTGATCACTAATCCATGGGGAACACCAGCATTGTAGCAACCTCAACCCAGTAGGTAGTCAGAAAATATGAAAGGGAAAGCTTCCACAAAGCTGAACGCCACTGCAATAGAAAAAGAATCATGTGCACTCAGTGGCCTTCTCCCTTTTTCCACTGTTCATTATCAATGCAACACAGAGCATGCACATTGAGTAAAAAAATTGAGCGTGGGGGGCAGGGAAGGGAAGATGAACAAGATCAATTTTTACATCTTTATCCTTTCCTGTGGCCAATAAAATACTGCTCTTCTCAGAAGATACACCATTAAATTTTCAATTTAGAACTGTACACCAGGAAATAAAACTTCCATGACATCCTTCAGAGATTATCCCAGGGCTTAAGAGATTTCATACTCTAACAGTTCCCAAAAATACTCTGACTACATGTTTCCTTTGTCAGCCACATCCTAATATAGTACTAGATATAGTACTACATAAGTCCTCTACCCCCAGGCTGTTCACATTCCTCAAAGAACTGAGGACTGTTATGCCACACAGACAGTTAGAAAGATCGAGATCTTTTAATCTTTCCTCGCATCCACTCTTAACACCAAAAAGTGTTTGTATTTCTTGCCAAAATATCAGGATGGGTTTCCCTTTCTGTGGATGAGGTCCTATCACTGTCTGCAGAATAGCAGGTGTGCTCTCATCTGAGTCAGTGTGCAAACAAGCCCTTTCAAGTCCTTTGATTCTCTTGCACACAAAATCCCCAAACTGCAAGTTTTGTTTTCAAGCACTCCAGGAGGCCTTGTCTGTGCTGTTTGCATCAGCCTGATCTTCTAATACTGGTGGAAATAGTTTCAGTCACTTGTAGGGTCTTGGATCAAGTCCCAAATCTTAAAGAATAAAAGCAAGGAGAAAATGAGGCATTAACTTCAAATGCAGCTGCCCGGAATTCCTGCCTTGAAGTGGGAATGGAACAAAGTTGAGGGTAAGTGGAAGGATTTTTTAAATTAAAAAGAACAGGACAAAGAGCATGTGTTAACTTTCTAATTGAAAAAAAAAGTGCTTTGGAAAATATTCTGTGGAACTGTTTTGAATTAACTTATTTATTCAGCCAAGGGAATATTCCACTCACATTCACCGGAAGAATGAAAACTTGAATGTCACAGTATTTACTTTGATGCTCTCTTCATAAATTTGAGCTTATTGGTGTCTTTACACAACATGCAAGTTCTCAGGCTGTCTTCTAAATTCAAGAAAATCTAAACAGAACAATGTGAGGACAGTCAGCACATTCAGGTATTCCACAAATATATAGTAGCAGAAGGTTGCAGGATGTTCAACAGCTTTATCCTCACCAGCAGAAAGTCAGTTCCCAACTTCGCTAAGCCGCAGTTTCGCACAGGGGAGCTGCTCAAATGCTAACAGAGCAAGAGGCTGTTCATAACGCATCAAAACACTTAACCAAATCCCACGTCATGTGTACACAGCTAGATGAAAGCCTGGTTGCATGTGTTACGTGTGCATTATGATCCTTGGCTGCCCTCCAGCCAGATGTTTTCACGTCAGCTAACTCTCGCCCAGAAAGTTACATACTCAGAATTCATTGCTACCTTCTTCTTGTTCACAGAAGATCTTACAATCACTCCATATCACCATGATAACCTGAGACTGACTGTTCCCCACAGGTCTGGTATATCACAAGACTTGCACTGGATCGGGTCATTAATTATTTGCTCTGTGACTAATTTTTCTAAAATCAAAACAAAGAATGTAAGGCACGCATCAAGGAAAAGCCATCTCTGTCTCCTCAGATGTTTTGCTAATGCACAGCCTAGTGTAGTTACAGTATGCCTAAGAAGTAGGAAAAGGCTTCTTTTTTCTGCTCTTATCTTCAAAATGGTTCAATCAGTAGAGCTGAGCCAAAAGAAAATATTAAAGAAAAGCAAGAAGTGAACTGAAAAGGACATCCTGCATCTTTTAATAACAAACCAAACAAACATTGCACTGCTTGCTTTGTAAGTCTTACAGAAGAGCCCCTCCTTAGCTCAGGCTGCCTATTTCTTAAAAAACAAAGGCAAGCAGAACTAGCTGCAGGCAATGAAGTACATAAGCATTTGAATTCATGCTTATGTATCTTCAGAAGGAAAAACTCTCTTAAAAGCAACCTAAGGAACTTCTTCAACTATATTCTGGCAAAAGTTATTTGAGACTTGAAGATTTTTGAAGTCTTTCTAGTTCTTTAAAAACAAACTGGGAAATGCCAAAAAAAAAAAACCCCGACAGACTGCTGCCAATTTCAAAACAGGATGTTCTTGTTGTTGATGACTGTAATTAGGACCAGTGACCTTGAAAATGTAAACAATCCATCCATTACTTCTTCTAATTATTGTTGCAAATATTTTTTTTTCTCTTTATAAACTTGTCTGTGTGAGTACTCCAGAGTTCATACTGAGGCAAAGACCACAGGACTAGAAGTGCTAGCACCCAACGTCACCAGCTAGTTCAAAGGAAAAGGAAGGAGGAGGAGGAAAAAGGTATTTAGTATATGGCTAGTGATTTAAAATCAGGGTGGCTGTTATCAGCACACAGAAAAAGCAAGACAGAAAAGGCACCTCTACAAGAAATGCATTAAAAGTACTGCTGAAGAAAGACTCATTATCAGGAGAAAACCTTGGAAAGTGCATGGTCTCCTTAGACAGCAAGGAGGAAGTTCTGCAGCTTTCTCAACACATAATCTTGCAGTCAGAAACCTGACACCCGAGTCCTTACCTTCTGATGTCCAAATTCATTCAATATTGTGCCCAGCTTCTTTGTGTTGCTGTGAAGCTTGTGAGCAGCAATGGCTGGATTGGGATCCCTCCAGTCAATGGACAGGCGATGGTACCAGAGGTGCCGACCCTCCTGAATGTGCGCCGACTTGATGCTGGGGTCAAAGCGATGCACCTCACACCCACTGTTGGCCATGCCGACCTCAAACTGGTTGTCATCACTGCCTAGCCTACCAAAAAAAAAAAAAAACACCACCAAAAAACATGTAACTATTAATGCTGCAAGAAGAAGTGTTAGTGGGTAGGACGTTCTGAGGATGAACTGGCTTAAACAGAAAATTCAAAGCAGTATGATTAGAACAAAGGGCTCCTTTCAAGTCAAGAACTAAACCACTTTTAGCCAGGCTGACAAACTTCCCAAAGAGCATTTTCTTAATTCAGAAGTTGACAAAATTTATAAGGCAGTAAATTAAATGTTGGAATCTATGTGCTGTCATTACCGATATTCCTATTTTATATTTATATATATTTCTCTATTTTCAATTTGCTTTTTTCTTGACAAGTTTACAATACTTTTCTCAGTCCCCACTGCACAAACTTCCAATAAGCAAAGCATAAACAGAAGAGCAAATATATTTAAAATTTATACAATACTCTTTTGTAAAAAACTGGCATATTTCACACCATTTCTATCATCTGGTGTTACAAAGATGAGCCACAATGACCACCAGTGTGGACACAACACAAGTACCAAATGCCTCTCTTTTTCTGCAGACAGGAAGACACAAGTAAAAAAAGAAAATTTAAAAATAACCAATTTACAACAGTAGCAGATTTGTTATATAGACTTAAGAGAAATATTGCTGCTAATTGGGTGAAGATCCCAAAGAAGAAGAAAAATTAACAGCCCCACCGTGCAGTAGGACTGTCTCAGTCTCTACCTCTGCAAGGAGAAGACATATTGTACAAGACTGTGCCATATTCCCACCTCCTACAGCCCACTGGTTCACACAGGGTGCATTAAAACTAAAAATATCTGGTATTTACCACTGGAATCAAGTCTGGACCACAGGCCTTCTCTATTCCATAAAACAGGATGTTCTCTTCCTTCATACTCCTTCAAGCTTGTTCCAAATCTGATTCAAATCATGCACTACACATTAAACTTTAACAAAACTAACACATGTGTAGTGCTAAGAAGAGAATCAAGATTTTTAAATAGCACTTGAACCAGTTGTGCCAATTGAGACCGTCCACTATGTACTAACAGCACGGCATTTATCTCTCACGCACAAACCATTGCAGGGCAGAACTCTTAGGTGTACTGTCAGAGCACCTGCTACACTACACCACAGTAATCCTTAGAAAAGGTGTGAGTATGAAATAATTTTGGCTATTTGCATCAATACGTAAAATGTGATACATTTTAAATCGCGTCATACACTACAGTATGACACCAGGCCAGCACTAAATGTTTTACAGAGATGACATACTAGTAAACTAAAAAGAATTCAACTGATGAAAAAACGTTCAGAAGATAATATGTTTTGGAAGTTACCAATATGGTATGACACTTGCTAATACTGGTTAAGCACAGTGTAGTGATATCCTATGAGGTGGTCTTCTGCTCAGCCATCTTCCCTTTTGCATGTCCTGGGAAAGCATGAGGAGACAGTGTTTGCAAAAATAGCCTAGCATGCTTTTAAGAACAACTCTATTTCACAGGATTTCAACCCGTACAGCCACGTAGGAGGAAAAGACAGTTTTCTTTTAATACATTCAACACACATTAGGAAAAAAGTTCAGAAGTTAACTAAGTGAATCGACACGTTTGTCTGCACGTGGCTTTCTACAGAAGGGACACTGATGGACAAAAACCAGTGTAATCCCTTAGGAATGATAAACTGGCTAAAAATGAACAACATGCGAATTGTTGGGGGCAGTTACAGCACTAGAGTGAAGAGCCTGCCAGCATCTGATGGCCACATGTGTCGATAACACACTTCTAACTGTACCAGCTGGTACAATCCAGAGGACTGGATGCTTTGCTGTAGGCAAACCTCAGGCTGCGTCCAAACAGATTGCTACTTGTGTGGACTGTAAAGGGAGGTTTCAGTGGTGGAAAACAGAAAAAAAAAATACAGATGAGGGTAAAGAAGAGGCTGATATATCTTCTGGCACACTAGTAACAGCTCAAATTCATGCCTGAAGAGAGATTTAGCCAACAACAGATATTTAGGGGAGAAAATAAAGTCATCTCTGAAGGAACTGGTTTGCAAAATGCCTGGCTCACATACAATCATGCTAAGGGATAATGTAGCATGCAAAAGATAAACAAATCAGGCCTCCTAAAAAAGATTTTGTCTTACTTAAAAAGATACCTTGATTTTAAAACAAAGGTGTGGAGGTCACAGAAGACTAGAGAGGCCTTTCCCCACCATGAGGAGAGAGCAGCTGCTGCCTCCATCAACAGCAAAATAAAACATGTCAAAGACATTGGCCCTATTTTTACTGTAAAGGAGAAGGGCACTCGGTTACAGAGAGAAACGCAGTCCCCTGCAGTGGGGGTAGAGGTGGGCTTCCAAACAGCAGAACCAGCACCTGCAGGACCATCTCTCCCAGGCTGTGCGTGAGTGCAAAGGAAGGGCTCACTGGCATCGCTCCCCGCCGGCAGCAGGGCAGGGACGCTGACCCGGGACAGAGCGCAGCACAGCAGGGAGCAGTGTCCCTTGGCTGTTCCCGGCTCCCAGGGTTCACAGAGGGTCATGGTACACAGAGCCTTGCACTCAGAATAAACACTGTGCTGCAGCTTGCACCGAACAAAGCATCCCACCAGCCCCCGAATCATCCAGGAGCTCAGCAAGTGCTCAAGTGGCACAAAAGCTGCTTTGTCTTCTACAGCACAGCTCTAGTTGGCACCTGTAGCTGATCCAGTCTAACTGCAGGTACTCCAGCTCCCACAGTGATCACAGGACAGAGCTATAAACACATGCATGTTAAGGTCCAGCTTTCCCATTCTGTGCTCTCCCTCCTCCCCTTCTTTTTCAAAGGAAGAAAACTGAGCTCTGCAGCTCAGGGAAAAAAGAAGCACCCCCTGCCTGGATCATAAACCCCATACACTTTAGGATGCACCTGAAACAGCATTTATACTATATTGCAGTGAGACTCTTTAAACCTCTACTGGTAAATTTTTGAAATCCTATTCATTTATGTTATCCCAGCTTGAATGCCTGCCTGTGGTGTTTGTAACTGACTTAGCTTAATCTAAGTAGATTTAGCACTAATAACTAGAGCTCACTAATGCATATTGCAATTACGTATCACACTGGGAAATCCTGTCTACAAAGCAAAAACATTGCTGTCTCCCAGTAGTGGAAGCAACTATAACTAATCTAAAGGGATGCCCAGATGTTCCAGAGACTGCTCGCTCGCATTCACAAGTGACCTCTTCTATAGCATTTGAGGAGGCAAAGCCTAAGCAGCATGTTTTGTTCCAGTTTTAGCGATATATGGATTCATTTCAGGATTCCCAGCAACATTCGCACTGAACTTTCACATTTGTCCTGTATCCATCCTCTCCACAGAGAATGTTCTTCATTGGATGCAGCTGCTCCCTGTTTGCTCTTCATGAAGTGTATGGGATAACAAAAATGTTTAAAGAGGTTTTTCGTCTTACTCAGAACAAAATTACTTTTCTGTCTGTCATAAACTAAAGGAAGTGAGTCTGAGGGGAAGAATTATGCAGTAATGAGCTCCAAGTCTGCAGAAGCAGCTGGATTGAAGACCGCTTCTCCTTAATCTCAAGTATTTCCCTTTTATTTTTTTGCTGTTTCATGTGATGCATCATGGTTTGTTACTAACTGCATGTGTGTCTCTGACGTCTGATGGGAGAGCCAACATCAATTTCAATCTCTGCTAAGTCCTACTGTTCCACCAGTACAGAAAATCTGGCATTCAGGCTCCCTGGAGCTGGTGCAAAACTGCACCACATATAAAGCACTGGTATACATGCACTAGCTCAGGTTTGTTCAAAATCATTAGTAAAATATCTCTGTGCTGGTCAGATTCATGCCAAATCTGCATTTCCTAACACAGACAAAATCAACTCTGCATTGTACCTACTGGCCAGTTCAACAAAAATACCATTCTCAACCCACACTTGATACAACGCAACATGGAAAAGGGACATTAACACAGAAGCTCAAGTCTAATACTGATGATCATGCAGCTTGAAGGGAAAGGTCTAGATTAATTCCACTGAACTTTGAGTATTTTACCAAGACTTCTAAAGTCAGCAGACACGTTATCCAGACTTCCTCTATAATCAAAGGAAACCTAGACCTACCTCCAGAATGTTATTTAGCTTAGCTGATTTTTCACCTGAATGTGCCTGCCTCTCCCCACTGACTACTGAAAGGGCCCTCAGGCAACAAGTCAGTACTACTGTCAAGCAGGTAAAGTCTGGAACTGAGCATCTCTCCTAACTTCCGTAGGAACACGAAAAGCTGATAAGAAAAAAAAAAAACATGTAAACCTATATTTTGCATTAATATAGGTAAATACAATTTGAAATGGATTGCAAAGAACATTCAGAAAATATGAAGCAACAGTAGTCAAGAGGAGTCTCCTCTCCATATACCTGATCTACCTCTAAAGGGTATGTTAGTGTTTTGCCACTGAGCAGTGCTGCTGAACAAAACCTGAGAGCCCCTCAACCTCTAAGGAGGTCTTTACAGCTCAATACAAACTCAAGCCAAATATAAACCCACCCAAATTAACCACAAAATGCTCCCTTTGACTGCAGTGCTCTCTGCATCCACTTCACTCTAATTGCTGGTGTTAACTGCCATGTACTAATCACTGAGAAACCCCACCCAGGCACTATTCCCTGCTATCCACAGTTTGTATCCCACAGCAGCAAAATCACAGAAATAAATTGCACTGGTTCAAGGGAGATGAAGTGCTTCAATACACCTCGAACCTAAAGCTGGCTCCCAGGACTGCAAAGACAGTATTATTAGGCAGCAGCTATGTGGTGATCTGTGTGAAATAGGCTCCAGATTCCAGCGATCGTTCTCCTAATGCAGCTGTGTGCTGAAGGGTAATGCAAAAGGCCAGAGGCCTGATGTACTCTGAGGACTAATCTCCCTCATCCTCGTGGGAAGCAGAATGTTTTCTTAGCACAGAAACAGGCTGTATATGTGGTTTTGCCACCTGAGAAAGCACTTGTTCTGTACAAAGTGAAAACTTCAGTCTCAAGTGCTGTAAATATCATAAACACTGCAAACATTTTCAAGTAAAGCCACAACTGCTTTTATTACTATCACTTCGCCACATATCACCCCTAAAGTGTTGAACAAACACACCCTCATACAGAAATGTACTATTTTGTCCCAGAGGCAGTTAACGAAGTTTTACAAGTAATGCTGCTGAACTACCCAGCAAATATGCAAGTCATCTCTGCTCAAAGAAGATGCTGTAGGCTTCTCAGTTTATCTCCTTAATTTCCATCTTCCTCTGTATGAATTACTACTCACAACTCACCATTAAGCAATTTGTTTTCATATTAATATTAGAAAAGCAAAGGAAAATAAAGAGCCTCATAGAGAAAGGCTTTTCCCTAAAAAAAAAGTTTACAGAAGCACATCAACACATAACATACGCAAACAAAGTCTATATTTTAGAAGACAACCTTATTGCAACCTGTGTTGCATTTATAGGGCTTTTTGAAGTTACCTCTCACGAAACAATTTCCTGACTTTTAAAAGAGAGCACTTACCCAAGTGAATACAGACGGCATTGCTTGCTTCTGATTCGGTGAATGAGGCTAAACCTCTCATCAAGACAGATCGACCAGGGCTTTTTTGAGGTTTCAGAGTACCCTTTCAGGCTGTTCAGGTTCATATGTTCACATGAAATCTGTTGAAATCAAAGGATGCTTCATTTTAAGACAGGACTTTTAATTTGTTTTTAATTTGCCTTCTGGGGAAAGAGTGGAAAAAAGAAAAATGTTAATTGGTTTCATTTAAATCTGATTGTCAATTTGGTACATGGCTACAGAAATTTGATCATTTTTTCCTTGTTCATCTGTTCTGCTTGGTGAAATTTAAGGCTTATATAATCCCACAGAGAGCAATGCAGTTCGAAAAGCAAATAATTAAGCATTAGTACTATACCCAAAATCATTTTTCCACAAGGAAAAGATCTTCACCATTCAAATGTTTTGGAGTTTTTTTCAAACCTTGGAATGGATTCTGCATCTCAAATAATGATAAAACCATTATTCATGTCATGATTCAAGATCATAATCACAAGGTGCAGTGTCACACAATGTAAGATGTATACCTTATCCAGAGTATCCTGGATGTCAGTTCCAGAAGGGATTTAATCATTACCCCAACACATGGCCTCTCCAAAAACAAGGGGATTTAAGCAAGTGCTTAACTAAACAGAGGAATCATAGAATGTGTGTCTATGCTGAGCTGGCTTAGACATCTAGAGTCTAAAGCCAGGATAAAACACCCTGCAAAAGAAAAAACAGAGACCCTGCAGGGAGGAACACTGTAAGTTAAAGCCCTTGTACAGACCAAGAAAGCAAAGACAGAAAACACACTGGATTCATCAGAAACCTGTAAGTGTCAAAAATCACTTAACTGAGGTGTGAAGTCAGCTTTGCCGGCAGCTGAGCAGCAGCCGGCAGCAGCCAAAACACAGCGGGGTCTGAGCCAACGAAACCAGGGCCCCGTGAATGACACCCTAAGGAGGAGCCCCTGCCTGCAGCACCAGCTCTGCCTGTCCCCCCAGCAGCCTGGGCCAGCATTTCACCCCCAGGCCACATCATCCTGCACTATCCTCTTCTTCCAGACACACTCTGGAAAAGGCAGGCATGGAGCTGGGGAGCGCTGCACCCCTTCCAGAACTCAGGATCCAGAGCACAGCAGGTGATGGAGAGCCAGTACAATTTGTAGGGCTGTTGCCTTAGCAATGTTAAGGAGGTAATGGGGAGCAGAAGTAAGCACCAAAGCTGTGGCTGCTTCTGCCTAAGAAAGGTTGTGCCACTCTGCATCAGTATCAGCATCTACAGCTGGGTTTTGAAGGGCTTTTCAAACCACATGCAGCCCAGCCATCAAATTCAGGGGTTGGAGGGCACAGGCTGCTTAACACGCAGATAGGAAAGCAAAGACTGAGAAGAGCTGCAGGAACCCAGCTGAGCCATCACAACAAAAAGTTGTTCTTTGTGCCAAGCACCAACCCTAACTGCAGGAATGGGAGCTGGCACTGTCAGAAAGCCAAAAACTAAAACAGTGGGAAGGAAAGTGGTAGACACAAAACCAGGTTAAACATCAGTCCTGAACACTGTTCTCATCTTGCTCCTTCCTTCCTCTACAGCAGACTGCCCAGGTTCAGTTCTCAGTTTTAGACAAATGAAAAAGCATGGCTCTGGTCCCACCCGGAACCACAGAAATGAAACAATTCTACACAGGGGTGAGAGCGAAAACTGGAACCCAGCCTTTAATGTGATAGGCACTCTCCATCAGGTACCTTATAATAAGTAAAAAAACTAATTCTTTAAGAAGCTTATGCTCTGAAAGATCATTGCCTGAAGCATTACATTCAAAGAGCTGCACACTGCATCACCACCTCCCTGCTCCTGCTCAGGATTCACTAAGTTTTAAGCAATTATTTGCACTGCACCCCACTACTCATTTCCCTTCAGTCACATAACAATCAAGGAATAAATGGCATTGCAAAAATAAGCACTAATTTAAGACACAGAAGAATAATGTACTCTCTATAGAAAACTAAGATTCTGCAATGCTGCCACTTAGTTGACTCATGGCATTATGAGCAATTACAATAGTCAGAATTAGGAGCAATTTTAACAGCTCTTGCTACTTAATTGCTCTTGCTATCAAAAATTAAAAAAAAAAAAATAAAAAAATCCAATGCTGAACCTGCCCTTAGCACCATCACCAGTCTGTTGCATGATTTACAGATCCTGATGCACTGAGCTCACATCCTGTTCTGGGCTTCTGTTCACTACTATCACACAAACAACAGCACAGGTAAGATAGTTCTGATCATCAGACATCAGCGCTGAAAAAGCTTTTTCTGGCCACACCTCGACACTGCTGACATGGCATCTTCCCCTCCAGCAGTTTAAGCCATTGTACACTATCGGCAGGGAGCTGAACTCAGGTAAGGTAATTAGTAGACACTTGCTCAGCAAACAAGGAATATGAGATCCCATGCTCATCTACATAAGCAGGATCCCATTCTCAGAAGTGCTCATACCGGTTATGGTGTTATCCCGTCAGTTATTAATATTGTAACATCTGCCAGGTCAGAAACAGAGATTTCTCTAATTTTTTGTTTTCACTTATGCTTGTTCCCCCAACCAAGGTCAGTTACTCTGGGAACAAAACTTCTTGATTAGTGTGTCAGGAGCAATAAGCTCTCTATTAATTGATGTCCTTGTAGGCTTTAACCCAACTAGTGGAGTTTAGCAGCATCTGCCACTGTTTATTAAGTCACTGAGATGATGTTTTCAAACTCAGTATGTCTGCTGCAGCCTAAATTTCTGTACAACAAAACAAGCAGCTCTACACACATCTCTTGCTGTCCCCATGCATCACCTTGCCTCTTGCCCTCTCAGTGCTGGCATGAGTGGCAGCACAAATGTCATTTTCTTGAGGATTTAGCCAGGGGTATCCACAAGCTGGAGGATACGTGAACACCCTACTACCCTCCTTTTTAGGTGTGTTTCAAATGAATCTTGTCTCAGCCTTGAAAGCACTGCATCAACAAAGAATTTCATATGTGAATGACATTTCAGTGACATTAGCACCTGAGGCTTTTTGCTGTTCTCCAGTGTAAGTAATGGTGCTGTTAAATCTGTATTCAAGGGTCAATTGCTGATAGACCTGGGTACTGAAAGCAGCTGCCCTGTCAGAACTGTGGGAATCTAGCACCTTTTCCATTTTTTATTACTGGAAATACATGCATAAATGCTGTTGTGCATAAATGATGCCCCTGTGAAGACATGATGGCCCAATTTCCATATGCGCTGATTGCTGAAGGTAACTATCAACACAATCTGGATTTAGAAATGACATATTTTAAAAATCACATAAACCCACTCATTTTCCAGGTCATCATTTTTGTCCCAAAAATATCAGGTATCATTGGTATCATTGGTATTTGGTATCATTGAAACAACTTGTCCAAGTTAGGGTCTGATGCCTTGTTCTCATTTTACTGGGAACCTCAAATGCATCCTTTTTAAGTAAAATGAGCCTGGTTATTATATTATTATTGAGAAGTGGAGTGGGGGAATAACACAGTTTTCTCAATACAGAGTGCTCTGTATTTTTCTGTATCTGAGAGGGAGTATGTGAGAGAGAGAGAGAGAGAGGGAGAGAAACTACATCTAGAATTTCAGTCATACCACGCTCCTGTCGGGACACAAACCCATTCAAAAACAAAAAGCAAGGAAATAATGCATTCTTTCTAACCTGTGTTTTGACCTTTACATTCATGTTGACCATCACTGCTAGGTTAAACAACTTTAGAAATAAAACAGTTTCAAAAAAAGTTTGGTGCAAGGTTAATTCATTAACTGAGAAGGAACAACTTGTAGAGGCAAACTATCTTCTAAATGGAGACTGAAATGAAAAACATACCTGAGAAGTGCTAATATACTTTAGGAACCTCAATGCCTCGTAGTTGAGGGAAGGAGTTGGACTTGCCCATGGTTGTAGTTCAACGTGCCATCTTACAGTCTGTAAAACAAATCAAAACAAAAAACACCTTAAAGGCAGTACAATTGTAAAATACCAGGCCTAATAAAATAAGGAGATTTAATTTCAAACAAAAAGTTTCTTAGAGGCTTGTCTACACATGAAAGACGTTTCAGAATAAAGTAGGGTTTGAACTACAATTAAAGAGCACTTATGATTTATAGTGATCAGCTTTGAAAGCAGATGTAGGTAATTCAGAAAGAAAGGGCTCTTCATCCAGGATACATGTGTCAACCCAGTTATTCTAGGACATCCAAAAAAGCCATGGCTTGCAGAAACACATGAAAAAAAAACAAGATCTGAGTAACTAAATCCCCTAGCAAAACATCTGAAAAGAGTGATATCATTTTAATTTTATATCTGTTGCATATCTCTGTTTGAATGTCCACTGAAAGAAGAACTTGGATTGTAAACAACAATCACCAAAGGAAACCTCTGCAAACAATCTCTTTTCTTTTTTAAGATCTAGATTTTATTGAAAAGCAAGCTTCTTGTGGTCTTTGAGAAAAGTCCTCTTCCTTTCCCATGCTTGCCAGACGAGATACACCAGAATTATTTGTTTCCCCTCAAAAAATACAAGTGTGGCTGCCCATAGCCCTACCACTTCTCATTTTTGTAGCCCCAAGGAAGTAGCTTCAGTGGGTGCTTTCTGTACTCCCTACAAGGCCCCTCAGCTCTGAACCTCAGGGATCCTGTCAGCTTTTCCAGAAACCCTTCCCACATGGACAGAGTAGGACAGAAAAGGTCTTTCAGACATGTGCTTGCAGAGCAACAGGGCTCTGTGCTCCCATCTGCACCACCTTCTCCAAATTCTGCCTGCTTTTGTCATGCTGGAAAATTTCAACTTGTCATCTCTTGCCCTCAAATAGAGAAAAATACAAGCATGGTGTTAAGTTGTACTAAATTAAGATTGATTCCTCATGGCTTTTCATCTTCAGGCACCATAACTCACTTCTATGGCTGGGCAGGTAGAATCAAGCTTCCCTTTAATCATCCTCAATTAACTGAGCTTCCATAATGGGGTTCCTCCCTCATAGGTTCATGTCGACATTCAATAAAATACAATCAGAAACCCCATTTGGGATTCCACAGGACTTTATTTCAAAAGAAGCCCTGGAAAACATGTAGGAAACAGCAATCAGCTGCAGAGGATGAAGACAGATCAGAGAAGTGAGGTGCTGAGCCACGAGATAGGACTGGTCTGTGGCACCAGGAGAAGAGCCAGCACAGTGACAGCAGGGATCCTCTGATGCCAGAGAGGAACACAGGAAAAAGAAGGTAAAACTAGAAAAGAAAGTTTATTAAAGAGGACCACCAGACTAGATGGAGTTTGCCTTGAGCTGGTATCACAAATTGATATTTTTGCAGCCTAAGAAAACGTAGTCTACAGTGAATGTGAGCCAGGAGGTCTGTATGAGGTTTATTGTTCCTTTAGGGGTTACTCTTTGTTGGGTTTTTTACTGTAAAGAGATGATGAAATGGACATTTTAGACTTTTTTTTTCCCCCAGAAGCAGATAAAACTAGCATTTCTCACCCTGAAACTTCCTGCCTATGGCAAACACGGGCTCCTATACTCTGCACAGCATGAGGCTGGAAGCAAGCTAGCAAGGAAGCTCTGCAGTAGCACATATCCCTGACCTCTGATTGCAGAAGGCAGCCTGCAAGCAGCTAACAGCAGGAGGATAGGAGCACACCAGGGAGTGAAATGCATGTAATCTTTCAGAATGAGTCACAGTTCACACGGCTGAATAACGTTTGCAATGACAGGAATGCTGTCGTTTCAACAGGCTTGAAAGCTGAAATGAAAATGAAGACTGACAATCATTTTCAGGCAAAAAAAGAAAGGGGAAAAAACCCACAGTAAACAAAACAAAAAAAACCAAACCACCTACCAACCACACAGATATCTAAACATCTGTGCCCAGTTATTTTGAAATTTATTTGTGTGAGAAGTAGCTCATTAAGTAGAGGAATTGCAGGGTGGCCACTGTGACACTATTCAGCAAGAATTCCCTCTGCACAGAGGGAAGAAAAAAAAATCCCTCTAATGAACCACGTGAATGAGGTTCTTTTTCAGCAAACTGCAATATACAAGAGCCACTGCAGCTTACTCTCAGTTTCTTAAAATCTTAAAGAAGACAAACTACCTTCCCAGTGACTCCAAACTATCAATAAACACACAAAAATGAAATAAAAACCCCAGTGACTTAATAAGGCAGTCTCAAAAAAAAAACCCAAAACACAACCTTTTATATAGTTCTTTAAATTTAGAAGCACTGCATAAATGCTACTTTTATGACAGAGATCAGACCTGAGGCTTCTGTTTGATGGTAATTCTTTTGAATAGCTTCTCAAACTTCACACTTGGTCCCTGGCTCCTTAGGAAGTAGCAGCATATTTCCATCCACTAACGAATACATTAGAGAGGTCTGTTCCTAACACCTACTAAGCATCTCTATGGAGCACTTCAACAGCTGCTGAATAGATTCACAGATGATGAACTGGGATGAAAATCTAGCACATCTCTTGGACTAAGTGCACCCTCCCAGTGGGTAACTCACTGATGTTGGTGACGTGACATAGATATGTTCGGGACTCACAAAATATCCTCCTGAAGAAGCCATTCCATATGTACATTGATAGCCTTTGTTTATAGTTTTTCAGGTAATTTTCAATCTGTTCCATAGTGTTACCATGTAAGCCTTCTCAAATAAACTCCACAGATAAAACTCACCTGGTCCCTGTGGACTAAGTGCTTTGTGAAAACCAGGTTTATTCCTGATAAACAAATGATCTTTATTTGAAGAGTTTCCCCCCTCTCAACTTTGCAATTTTATTTACTCAGAGCAAACCTGACTGTGGCATCATGATTTGGATTTTCTCACTTGTATTGTGGAAACCTCTAGAGTAACCAAGAGCTGTGGCTGCAATACAAAACAGGCTGAGGAGCAGCTCCTTTCACAACAGGCTTTACAGTCAGAGGAACACAGGAGGTATTACCTCCATATTATGCAGCTCTGGATATGAAAAGACAGACCTCCACAAGGTCACCCAGAAGCCAGAAAATGGGTTCAGCCATTCTACATCTCTGCCTATTACCATGGGTGTGCTATCTCCCTAGGGTAAGGACTCATCCAACCATGACTGTGTTTCCCAAACAGCAGCATATAAAGAGATGACAGTACCTGGAAAGTTACAATGCCACTTAAAAAAATACCACACCGAATATCTTGAAGTATGCCTCTATATACAGCTTCACTTACAGACACATTACCTGAAATCAGCATTGTAAGAAAAATCAGTCTTCAGCAAGACTTTGTCTTGAGCACCAGTGAGACACTGACTTCAGCTACTCCAGAATGGTAACGGATATCCTGAAACTGTTATTCAGGATGATGTCTAAATTTTTACCACATGAGATAACCATAGAATAAAGAAAATCTTAAGGCAATGCCATTGCTTTGTTAGAAAAAGAAGGACACATTTGAAGGTCTGATTTTTTACCCAGGTACTTCACACTTAAGGATAAGGACTGATGTTTCCTTCAAACTAATCTGACAGTAATCTGCAGAGACTTTTCTCTGGAGCCCACTTCTTTCTAGATTTTTCTTCCTCGTAGCCATCTGATAATCCCTTAATAATCTGTAGTATATATATGGTATATTTTTAAAGGACTGTAATTTAAAATCTCAAATCATAATATAAAATGTAAATAAACATCTGCAAAGGGCTTACAAACCAGCAGGTCTAAAATTGTAGGTCTGCAAAATATCTGGCTTTTCCAGCTTAAACTTGAACACACAAATCATTAAATTCTTTCCAAACCAATCCTAGTTTCAGTGCACTGATCCAAAAAACTCAACCCCTCCCTTCCTTTCTGCTTACATTTGAAAGGGAATTAGTAAATTTTGCATATTTCCATCTTTTTTTCAATAACTGTTTTTTCCCTCTTTTAATCTCCCTCCTTGTTAGCAGCTAATTAAAATACAGAAACATATTAGCTGTGTTTATAAACAAAAAATCTGGGAATTCCATTACCCTATGAAGCAGTCTGTTGCTTCCAAAGAAGAAACAAAAGACTTGTCAATATATACACAGATGTCTTAAGCAAATCCTGTGATTAAATCATGCAACAATAATTTTTTTACATTTGAGGCAGGTCCAAATGTGAGTGGAAATCACTTGTGGCAATAAATTCCATCAATAACTATAAATATTTGCTAGTCATAGAAACAAATGACACATGCATCTTCACCTCCAACCATTCTGGCTACCTGGTACCCTATGTACCACCACACTCATCCTTGTAAAAGGGCACAGCACAAGAGAGCTTGCTCGTGGGTGAAATTTTGCAGGGATTTTATCAGTTTAAAATGCAATGCGTGGGATTCAAATTGCAAAATTTCAGACATCTACACGGCAGATTTACTGGATTGAGTTCCTGAAGGCTTGCCCTTGTGAGAGGAGATATGATTTACAGAGCTTGGACATAATATTATTTGAGGTCCCGCTGCAGCACCTGTGGCATATTATTTTGTAGTGGTCTAATTGTTTGGGGTTTTCCCTCAATTCAGAAGTACCCTAAGTGAAAGCAGTGTGTTGCAGCCTACTCAAGTACTGGCTTTACACGACATGCTTCATGAGGGTCACACAACAAGTGTGAAGCCTGCTAAGACGAGTAGGAGGACTGCTGAGGGTGCAGGCAGCCAAACCTGGCACACTGCTCCTCTTGCTGACAACACAGAGCAGCTCCAGCGGCAAAGAATCCCTCGTGAACACCTATGTTTAGTTTCAGAGGCAATTAGCTGGTTGACTCCAAGGGAGAGACAGGAGTGAAGAAACGCTCCTGCAGTGAGGACAGCCATGGACAAAGCTCCCACAGTGGGCTGTGGAGCTAAGTTATCTGACAGGACAGATGAGGCAGACAGGCTCTTTAATGGAATGATTCATCTCTCTACAGAGTAGATGTCTATAAGTAGAT